TCCTGCTCCCACCCCCCCCCACTCTCCAGTTCAATACCTGGAGTCCAACACTCTCTGTCAGATCATCCCCAGCCTTATTTTTTTTTTTTGTTGTTTTCTTTTAGTTTTGGTTTGTTTTGGTTTTGTTTTTTGTTTTTTGGTTTTTTTTTTTTGTTCCTCCCCCAAGTCCACCCCCAACCCCATGATTTTTTTTTTTTGGTCATAAATATTGCATTATTCACACTTTCAAACTGTGTATTTTCTTACAATAAAAAGAGAAAAAAAAAAGGCTTTACTTCTTTTGCATGCACTTTAAAAAAAAATTCTAAAAAAGGCAAAAAAATATATTAAAAAAAAAAACAAACCCCAACAAAAGAACAAATTTTTTTAAAAAATTCAAAAAAAGGCAAAAAAAATATATTAAAAAAAAAACCAAACCCCAACAAAAGAACAAAAAAACCCCCATTTTTTTCAGGTTCCAGGGAAAAGCATGAATAACTGTCAGAGCTTTTAATTATATTTGTAAATAAAAGTGTTCATCACAACGCCTCGCTGTCTCATTGCGGGAAGAGCAGCACAGCCTGACGCTGGGAACAGGGTGGGTGACCCGCTCCGGGATGCTCCGAGGGGTGAGATGTTCCTCCAGTCCTGTCCCCGTGGGGCTGGAGGAACCTCTGGGCCCTGGTTCCACACCTGGTTTTCTTGGCAGTGGAGGTTTTTAGGTTGATGAGTTGTGGTTTATTTTTTTTCTGTCCTGTTTCCAGCCCGAGCTGGAGCAGCCCCTGCTGAGCAGTGAGGTCTCCACCCACCCCATGAGCTTGGGCTTGAGTAACTGGGGATGTTCTCCTGAACAACCATCAGCGTTTTCATGGCTGGGTTGAGAAACTACCTTGGGGCAGAAACCACCTTCCTTGGTTACAGAATCACCCTGGTTTTTACAGGACCTTGCTGCAGCAGGTGCAGGTTTTGATACCTGTTTCTCAGCCCACTTGGCTGCAGACCTTTGAGAAAGGAAGTAGTTTTAAAAAGGGGGAAGGCTTCTAGTTCCATGCTTTTATAGAATTTTCTGGAATTACATTGGTTTAATCTTTTTTTAACCTTTTAAAGATGTCAGACTGGACCAAAAGTTCATTTTCTGCCTGAAGGTGCTTAGGAAACACCACCAGGTCTCAGTGCAAGGAGAACAACTGGGACCCTGCAGGTCAGTAATGCTGGTGGTGCTTCTCCCAGGAGCCAACATCTGCTGTTGGGGTTCAGCTGCGGTGGGTGGAGGCTCCTGCAGAGGCAGGTGGAGGGAAGGAAACCTCCAGGGAGCACCCAGGAGTGTGGGGACATCCCAGGGGACAGGCTCCTCTGCCAGCTCCTGAACACAGGCCAGAGGTGCTGGGCTCCCCCAGCCGTGGTGGGGCTGGTGAGGGGCTGGCTCTGCGCCCCCACCCCTGGCCAAGGCACAGGACAGACCTGTCAGCACAGGCTGGGGACAGGTGACAGAGGTTTTCAGGGGATAAATTACGCTCCTGCTGCTGAGTGAGAGAGCAGCTTTACAAACACCCTGGAAAAAGAAGTGTCCTCTCTGAGTTTCTGAGGCCACCCTGCCACCACTCCTTCGTGACAAGAAGCTGCACCTCCAGGAGAGCAGTTGTAAATGTGTACGAGATGGGCTGCTGGAGAGAAAGACACAACACTGAGCTGCTCTCCTCCAGCATCAGCACCTGCTTCAGGGGGAAAGGACCCCGCTGCTGCTCCAGTAAACACTCCCCTTCCCTCGTCCCCCAAGAAGACAACCACACCCTCCACCTTGGTAAGTGTTTAATTGCACTGTGAGCAAACAGAACGTTAATATCAGGTCACAACAGAACTCCAACAAAACAAAGTGGCCTCTCGGCTTCCAGTGGCAACAGAGAGCGGAAGGTAGAGCTGTCAGCCTGCTGGGCTGCCTCCTCCCACCATCCCTTCACTGCTTCAGTGGTTCTCCCCAGGGAAGTGGAGGCACTGGCCAAACACTCAACAGTAAAAATAAAACTTAAAAATCTGGGAGTTTCCCTTTCGACTGCAATTCCCTCCCTGGAAAGGAGAGAGCACACAGCCAGCACCAACCCAGAAGTGGTTCTGTACCCACACCACCGCCACGTGACACATTTCAGTACAGCAGAGACACTCCAGTGACACTAATTTGCAAAGGTTTGGGTTTCCCGTAAGCAGGCCAGCCAGGAGGGGTGGCCCTGTCAGTGACACCTTGTCAGAAGCTCATCTAGCAAGCGATCCCCTGTACCTACAGGAGACTCTGAAGCACAGCACAGGTCTGGACCACACCACCAGGGAAGCAGGTTCAGGCCAGGGACAGTGACAGGGTGACAGTTCCAGCAGTCAGAGTGCAGGAGCATTGGGGTTCAACTCACTAATCAAACAAAACTACAGGGATGTGCTCTGACCAGCCGGGTTTCCAGGGGCAGGGGGGGTGCTGCACAGTGCTGCTCCAGCTCCCCCTCGCCCTATTTCCCCGACAGCTGCTCGTAGAGCTTGGGCACGTAGTCATCCCACTCGGCCTGGTAGCAGGTGCCAGCCACCGGCACCCCCAGCT